ACTGGTGCACAACCCGAAGCTGTGCAAAAGCCCTCCTGGCCGCGGCTGCCACCTGCTCTTCTTAGTCTTACCTTTTTCCTGCCCATGCATCATCATGGGCTAAGAGCCATTAATTGGGGATGGGGGTGGCATCTCTGCAGTGTAATTGATTTCAGAATCTATGCTTATGACTTCACCCAAATTATCTGTCACACCAGGAGCAAACAGCAGAATTCTTGACTTCAGACTACGAAAGTTGGGCAGGGGGAGGTACAAAAAAAACCTTCCAATATATAGTGAATAGTAAATTGAGGGGAAGACTTGTTCAAAAATATGACACAGTCTCCATCTCAGGAGCAAGGTATTTTGGAGCTTTAGTTTTCCCTTGGCTGGAGCTCAGCCATAATAGATATACACAATATATATTATAAGGGCAAAGTATAAAAGGAATTGTAACATTTCTTTCCAAAAGAAATCTCTGAAGAGTGTCCAATCTATCTTCTTTCCAGATCTCCCTCAAGACACTTGACCAGTTGACTAATTTTTATAAACATGATGCTAAATCCTCCAAACATATTCTTCAGCTCATTATTACCTTAAAGAACCTTCTTGATAGTTTGAATTGCTTTTCAGAATTCTTAGGCTTTTTCTATACCCTTCTCATACTTCCTTTAGTCACAGATTTCAACTGAATCAGACCATCAAGACATTTGATCAAACCAAATATTCATTTAGTTTCAAAACCTAGATTTCAGTACTGTTTTTTTCCTAAGGAATATGTTTCTCTGCTAAAAATATAGTAAGTAGAGCACTAATAGTAATATTTCAGGGTGTAGGAATGTATAATAATCAATGGAAAAATATTTTTCAGTGCTCTTTATCTTGAGCAATCTATTTCCTTAGAGTCCAATTCAAGCATGCACTTTATCACATTATTTCACACACTGCATCACTAAAAGATAGTTCATATATGAATGGAAAGTTCTTTCCCTGTTCCTAGATTTTCAAATTCATTTAATTCCTTGAATAAGGGATGATCTTAGATATCACCCAGAATTCTTTTCTGCCCAGGTAGATGTTATTCAGTTTCTTGCCTGCCTTTTTTTTTTTTTTTTTTTTGAAAGCCAGCAGTACTGGCCAGATGATAGTAATTATTTAAAGTATTCAAATTCTTATGATAGTTGTAAAACTGAAGGTGTTCCAGGTTATGTGCTGTCAGCCCTTCAGTGTAAGCCTAGTCAAGAACAGAACCCTGTAGGAATTCCAGGAATGTTATTTTATTGTTGTAGAATAAATTAACAGAAAAATCTGTTCTCCTTTTTAATCACAACAAGGTCAAGGTGAGTCTCCATTTAGGCTTTCTAATTTCCCAGGACTGAGTAACTATTTTGCTTCTCCCATATCCTTCTCAAGGCCAGAGCTAAATTCCTCTACATATGCAGACTGTCTTTCCTCTCTCCATTAAATGTCTCTCTAAGGTCTTAAAACTAGATAAAGATGAGGGTATCTTTGAACATATGGAGATTGCAGCTTCTTCTCCACGCAGCAATGCCCAGCATATTTTATCTCCAAATACTCAAGGAGTGTCCCTGAGTATGTGCAGAAGTGTGTTACATTAGAAATGCCAAGTACTGAAGCAGTTGTTCTTTTATGCCCATTATCAGGAGTCTATAATACAAGATTCTCCTTTGTAGCTTTTTTATGTAGCTTCTTTATCTAACTGTTCCCCTTGGGCTTTCTCCTTCTGTTATCCCTGATACCTAGCACTTATTTCTGCCATTTCAATATTCTGACAAAGAAGGGATCCAAGGAAAAGAGAATTTCACAAGCATCCAGCCAGACTGCTCAGAAGGCTCCCACAACTCTGTTCTATGCTCTTACCAGCACACTAATGATACACTTCTAAGATGAAATATTAGGCTCACATCTTCACCCAAATTACTAATTATTTTTTTTCTAATACTTGATGTAGGGAATAGGATGTATATAATGTACAATGTGGAACAATAACTGAATTATATTAGTTTCTTCTGTGGGATGAAAGCTGTGTTAGTCTATGGTGGCAAAAAATCAGGAATCTGGTAGCACCTTTTCCAACTAACAAATGTTATTAAAAGGCATAAGCTTTAATGAGCTGCAGTTTACTTCATGAGATGCATAAAATGGCTAGGATGATATAGGATTTAAACTGGGGTAAGGTGGGGGAGGGAAAGATGGGGGAAAGGAGACCAAGATAGGTTGGTTACGCAGATGCAGCTTACATGTGAGAGAGATTACAAGTACTTTTAAAAAAAAATCTGTTCAATTGTGTCTGATTCTTGGAGACTACCTGGACAAGTCTCTGCAGTTTTCTTGGCAAGGTTTTTCAGAAGTGGTTTGCCATTGCCTCCTTCATAGGGCTGAGAGAAAGTGACTGGCCCAAGGTCACCCAGCTGATTTTGTGCCTAAGGCGGTACTAGAACTCATGGTCTCCCGGTTTCTATCCTGATGCCTTAACTACTACACCAATTGTAACATGTTAAAAACCCATTGTGTTTGTTGAGATCTTCTGAGATTGCCTAAAACCTTTTGAGTTCAACAATTTCTCCTTAGATGATGCTGTGAAAATCCTATTTTTCTAAAGCAGTCACTCTGAGGTCTGCTATGGAGCATCCTAGGACACTGAGATACTCTGATATTACTTTGTCCTTGTTGTTCTGATTGTCAAACTCGTGTCCATTAGTTCTTTCCCATAAAGCTTGTCCCATTTGTCCTATGTAGAATCTAAAGGGCATTGCTGGCAGGTTATGGTATATACAGTATAACATTACATTTCCAAATGGCTATTTGAAATCAGTGAAATCCATTCAATAACATCCTACTTAACTGTGTCCCATTAACAGCAACCTACACTCATACAAATGCTGGATTCACACATTGAGCTAAACTATAGTGTAGTTTGCTTGGTTCAACATTTCACAGATGAAACAGTAATGTATTTGTGTAACAATAAGCAACTGTAAATACATAAGCAGCTTATCTCACCAAAAGATCGCTGTTGAGGGCTGAATTTGCATGCAGTATATTAGGCTGAGGACAACTTGCTGGCATCCAGAATTGCTCACTTAAAATGTGTTTTCACTCTTGTTCCTTCCTCCCCTCCCCCCCCCTTCTAAAAGAGTTGCATACTTTCTGGCATGTGAATTATCTCTGTTTATGATTGTACTTCCTAATTGTGTTGAATTATCTGTTTTTATGATTTTGTGGATATTGTGCTGAGACTACATTACAGTTGCCTTGATCTTTGCCTGCTCCCTTCCTTCTCTCTTCTCTAGAAAGACTAGAATAAGCTGGAATCAGCACCTCAATCTGCTGACCAGAGGGATTCTGCCGGCAAGCATATGAAAAGAGGAAGGCAGTTGTTTCATACCCTGAATATTCTCTCCAAGAAAACTCTGCAGATGTAGCAGCTACAAGAGAAAGGGGAGGGATAGGGGAGGCTCCAGTTGTAGGAACAGGCCCTCCCTGCCAAGCCGTCACTGCCGGCAGCCGCCCTTCCTGGCTTTGCAAAGAAAACAGCCCATCCGGTCTTTTTCAGCAGCTGCCCTGCAGGCACAAAGAAGCCTGGGATCTCCCCTTTTCTCTTTCTTTTGTCTCATGGAATACGCCAGCTCACCAGCTTTGGGGCCCTACTGCTGCTCCGCGGAAGACGTCTGTCGAGCTGGACTGGGCTGGGCTAATCAAGGCGGCTGCCAACAGCACCATTGTTGATATACAGCCAGGGCCTTTTGCCTCCAATCCGCCCAAAGCAACGTCAGTGACAATAGCATAGTCAACCTCAAGGTTGTGCTGCCACCACCTGAGCTTCCAGGCCATGTTTCCACAGCCCCTCGTGCCTCTAGTGACAAGAGGCAAAGAGATGGGAGTGCCTTCTGTGCGTCGGACCACACTGTCTGCCAAGATCCGCTCACGTGGTTCCAGTGGCACTATGCTGCTGCCTTCCATGTTGATGTTTGGTGTAATTGTGGCATCTAGTGGCCTACTCCTCATGATTGAGAAGGGGATTTTGGCTGAAGTGAAGCCTCCACCCCTCCACCCCTCTAACAGAGAGCTTTTCTGGAGAAGAACTGGCAGTAGAACAGCAGGAGATGTGGATTACCAAGTGCTGCAGGACATCCGAAATAGGACAATCCATACCATGTGCAGACAAAAAAACATGCCTCGCACCATTTGGGATCTGTCAGCAGGCCAGAGGAGGACAGCGCTCAAACACATCCTGGTTAGTGACAAACACCGCTTTTTATACTGTTATGTACCCAAAGTGGCTTGCTCCAACTGGAAACGAATTCTGAAAGTTTTAGATGGTGCGTTGGAGAACGTAGATGTTAAACTTAAAATGGATCACAAAAGAGATTTAGTTTTCCTAAATGACATGAAGCCAGATGAGATACGTTACCGACTAAACCACTATTTCAAATTTATATTTGTCAGAGACCCAATGGAAAGACTTTTGTCTGCTTACAGGAATAAATTTGGTGAGATTAAAGAATACCAGTTAAAATATGGTGTGGAAATAGTCAAAAGATATAGGAAAAACCCTGGAAAAAGCCTGGGTGATGATGTTACCTTTTCTGAATTTCTCCAGTATCTTATAGATGAAGAGACAGAAAAAATGAATGAACATTGGATGCCAATTTACAACTTGTGTCAACCCTGTGCTATAAAGTATGATTTCATTGGATCCTATGGCAGACTGGAAGAAGATGCCAATTTTGTTCTTGAAAGGGTACAAGCACCATCTTTTATACGTTTCCCAGAAAGACAAGCATGGTACAAGCCTGTAACTCCTGAAACTCTGCATTATTACATGTGTAATACTCCAAGAGAACTTATAAAAGAGCTATTACCAAAATATATTCTGGATTTCTCTTTATTTGCGTATTCCCTTCCAAATGTTACTAGTGAGTTTTGCAGACAATGAACTGTTTCTATAGTGAAGCAAACGCTATCCTATGCAGTTTTTCTAATTTTATAGTTTCCTTTTAATACTTTTGATATATAATGATTTACTATATATGCTATCTTTACATGAAAATAGCTTTAATTTTTATACTATATATATACATGCCGCTGAATTAAGCACAATATGTTTATTTGAATAGTGTTATTTTTGTATATTTTAGGAACAAGGCATTTTTGTAGTTACCAGAATAGCAACTGCAGGACAGTAAAGTTTGGGGAAGATTGTAAAACAGCAGGAGGAACAGAAATCAATACTGTAGCAAAAACAAGGCTTGTGCAGAGGGCTCAGAAGAACATGCATGGTGTGTACCATGTCTCTCTCATCAGTATGAATGTGAGGGCAGCAGTTTGGTACAATGTTGTATTAAAATACAGTGACATGGGATTTTTAAGTTGGTTAATGTATCTATTAAGGTAGGTAGCAGCCCTATATTATTTGAAAGTAAGTCACATTGTTTGTTAGACATGCTTCTAGATAACAAGCAGAAAATCAGGATTTAAATCGAATACAATTTATTTTATATATTGGTTTAATATATTCACCGAAGCTTATCCGAGCACTGAAATATGGGGAAGGCCATTAATATAGCTGGTCTACATGATCAGCAAAACAATTTGATTACCTAAAATTCAGAGTACTGTTTTCACATTGTTTTGAGGTAATAAACAGGAAGGGTGTAGGTATGAGTTGGTGTGTAGAATTCAAATAATTTATAGCTATATCTACTTTAGGTTCCCATAACAGACTTTGTATTTTTCTTACTGTGATAGTTTTGTAGGCCTCCATGATATATTTTTATTTCCTCCATGAATATATATGTGGGTGTGCTTTATTTGTGAAATAAAATATCTTTTGTAATCTTTTGTCAAAATATACCTGTTATAATTTTTTAGCTAAATTTTTCAGGTCATTTGTTAAATTTTGATTATCTACCTGCATACTAGATAGTATATGGCATCTCATCATCATGGCTTCATTCATTAGAAAGAATGAAGCAATCTACCTCTGCAGTGCATGAGGGCTGCAGACTGGACAGAGTTCTGTGTATCACATAAATGGCCATTGCCACAGAAACAAGACTATTGTTGGATATAGTAGAGGATACTGTACCAAATAAGATTCAACACTTTGTGGATGGAATGGAGGAGGATTGCCATCTTTTGCCTCAAGCAAGAAAAAGTCTAGGACCAACAAACCCAATAGCTTTAATTTTCAGGTGTTTGTACATTCTTTCCATTTTAATAAATGTGTATGTAATTATTTACTTGGATATTGTGTTTTATCTTTTACTATGCATTTCCTAAATGAAAAAGATAAAAACACACCACCATTATAATTTGAAAGGATTTCTTTTAGTGTTTTGTGTGGGAGTTCCAGCTGTAAGGCTTTAAGGCCCTTGACTTAATTTCACAAACTCTCAGGAAATCATCAGTTCAGACTGATGGGCTAACCTGTTCCTCTCTTGGTAGCCCAGTATCCAGGGTGAAAAGGAATAACAAATATAGAGAAAGGAAGCAATGACCCACTTTTGGCTCTTGTCTCACATATGGTTGCTTCAAATTATCTCCAAGAGAATGAACCATAAAAGGAAAAAAGTTGCCACCCAATCTTTTTATCTTTGTTCAACTAGTTGTCTTTAGATACTGTGATAGAAATTAAATTGGCTACCTGGTGAGGTGGGTGGAGAATGTGCCTACTTAATTGAACCATTGGTGGTTGCCCAGCACAGGATTAAAAATATATGCCCACCCATATCTTAAGTTCCTGGGGAGAAGAGGTTTCAACTGCTGCCCATGCACAACTGATAAAAGCTGTCAATACTGTGAAACAATTTAAAAGTGATAAAACCTAAGACATTTTTTGAGACTGCATGGTTCAATCCATTCTACATGGCATAGGGCCTGGTTACTTGAGGGACTGCCTGTCTCGCATAACATCTGCCTGGTCAATTCGATCCTCCAGGGTTGGTATGCTCTAGGTTCCTTCAATTAAACAATGTCATCTCTCAGGACCCTGGAAACGCGCCTTCTCTGTAGCAGTGCCTGCCCTCTGGAATGAGGCTCCCCCCGAGATCCAGATAGCCCCCACTCTGCAGTTATTTAGAAGAGCTGTTAAGACAGTGAGGGAGTGAGACCCCTCACTTTAACATGCTTGCCATCTTTTTTATGTTTTAATGTAATTTGATTATTGTGAGCTGCCCAGACTCGTTGAGAGTCAAGCAGCATACAAGTGTAATAAATAATAATTCTGTATCATATTTTCTTGAGGCTATTAGTTACATTGGCTATATACTAGCATTAGGATCATAAGTAGCATGCCTGAATACCAATTGTGGACATGATCAGATGTGCTCTGTGCTCATATTCTGCTCCCAGCTTCTGTAGGCATCAGTTTAGCCACTGTGAACTACATAGACTTTAGGCCTAATAAAGCAGGTACTTCTTGTACTCTTAATATGCAGCCCACATGTTAACTAGCACTTGAGGATGAGCATGTGAAATACATATCTTTGCTGTAGCATTTAGAAATGCTGACTCAAGAATGAAGCTCTCTAGGTGCAGCTTGGCCCATATTCTCTTAGCCAAATTTAATTGGGTTATTGGGGGGATTAAGGAGCACTGAAGAATAAAAATATTGTCCATTAATTTAAGCCCTTTGGAGCTGAGATGGAGAGACATTTAGTCTTTTTAAAATCTAATGTTCACACATAAAGAACAGCTAAAGGAAATCAGTCCTTTGCCTGACGGTATGGGGGAAAACAGTACAAAGTAGGCTTAGCAATATTTCCTCAGTCTTTCTTGCCTTCAGTTTTGAGATCTGAACAAGCTACATTTAAATCCTGATGCAGTCCCAGCCAAGTCTGAAGTTTGCAAGTAGGTCTGTAGAGAGGAGAAAGGATTTGTAGCTGCTTCATACAAGAGGAGCAACATAAGCAGAGAGTAAAACATAATGGAAAGAGAAAAGCACAAATGAACGAGGCTATTCTCTTATATACACTGGATAAATAAAAAAAAGAAAATGTGGCACCCTTGAATCACCACCAGTAGTAACTTGATTTTTAGAGAACGTCTTGAACTTGAAAGTGGTAACCATGAAAAATATTAAAAACCTTTACAATAAAACTCTGTTCAAAACATTATTTAAAAATACAGAGAATACTTTCTAATATCGTTTGCAAATAAAGTCCTAGCTTTCCTCAAGAATATACTTGTGTGGACATCCGCAATGCAGTCAACACATATCTGGCAGAATTTTTCCAGATACCACAATGATAAATACTATCAGTGATACTACAAATTGTCCAGTCTGCACATTTCACAAGGGCAACAAAGGGTACATCCAGATAATTTGCCTGGTCTTGTGTTTCCCTATTTCCCAAGATATTTTAATTATCAGAGCAAGAAAAAACAAAGAAACAATATTATGGCTTTAGTTTTTTGTAGAAATTATTTGAATGCATTAACTAGCACCCATTCTATAAAATGGGTATTTTATTTATGCTCTTGGAAACATTAATTTATGCTCCAATTACCTGGGAATTTACAGTGAGTTATATACCACATAGAGAAAAGATGCTTGAAATAAGTAGAAAAAACAAACAAACTATATTGCCTCCAAAAGACAATACTGAGATACAAATAATATATTTGGCCTGGATATTGTGAGAGATTATGTGGAAGATGGGAAAGTAATGAAAGAGAGACTAGACATAGTCAAGAGATAGAAGGGTAGTCTCTTGGATCTTCTAAATCACAACTCAGCCCATTTGGGAAGAAACCTAGGAAGAAGCATTTCAAATTGTTCAGAGAGATTCCACCTTAATGGACCGACTATAAGTGAAGGTTGGTAATCCACTTGCAATTTTCAAGATTTTGTATTTTCCTCAACAGTAGCATTCAGGATACCATACTGAAGTCTGTATAGTTCTTGCTCTCTTGATCTTGCCCAGCTGTGTGGGGCTTCACAAATATGTAAACTTCCCAGTAACCAAGTAGTAAGATAAGGTATACTAAATTATCAATCACAATGTTCAAATTTAATGGGAACCTAAAAAAGTGTGTGTGTGGGGGCAAATTAAGGGCTATGTACAGCCTCTGGTAAAAAAGAGCTGAATCCAAATTCCATCTCAGAAGACATTTTTTTATACTCCATATAGAAGCAAGCAAACAAGCAAGCAAGATCTATCTCTTTTCTAATTATAAAGCAAAATAGCTTTTCCTTCCCCATTCCTAACACTGTAAATCATGTTGAGCCATCTGTCTGGCTTCTGAGATTTCAGCAAGCTTTATCCCACACCTTGTCTTTAGTCAGAAAAGCTAAACATGTATGTATGTTTGTGTGTGTATATGTATGCGTGTGTATCAGAAATATTAATTTTGCACCAAACATCATAGTTCTTGCAGAATTACTGCACACCAAAACTCTTAGATAGCTCAAAAGGAACATATAAAAGAAACACTGATAGTAGTTTCTACATATTGCTTCATGGACACTTGACTAAGAACAAATGCAGTGCATAAAACATATAAAATTCCAGTCTGAAAGACTTCAGTTAGCCCATTACTGTTTTGAATCAAATCATCTCATTATATTGAAGAATGAAAAAAGTATCTATTTATATACCCTTTATAGCAAAGGAAGATAGATATAATCATAGATCACAAAATATCCGTTTTTCAGATAATCTGGGTATATTTTACACTGCTTATACATATACAATGTATAAGGAACATAAATGCACAGGCCTTTTGCTATAGTTGCACTGTATACTAAAAACTAATATATTTTTCTACTATAGATACAAAGAAATCTAGTATAAAAATGTTTTCAAAATGTCATTCCAATGATTATTATTTCTTCAATTTTTTTAGCCTGTAACATAAAACAATGTGGACTGAAGATGTTAATTTATGCAAAACAGGAATTATCGAATGCTTTTGAAAACAGGTCTCTATGTGTCTTTGTCACAAAATATTTCAAAATCTTAAAACTAAAAAGTTTTGCAATGAGCATCCAGCAGGTTTGTGTGCTGATATAAAAGTTCAGAGGTACAACATGTTTGATTCCAAAATGAATCCTCTATCTTATTTTAAATTCAAAATAAAACAAAAAGTAAATGTGATTATCTGAGGCAGTCTTTTGGATAGAAGCTTTTACTTCAAAACCTGTCAACAATATCCCAAATCCCATTAAAACATCTGGGCAACAAAATAATGTTTGTTACTTGCTTATTAAGATAAAAAATTAAAAAGTTAATATTTTAAGATAATACTAGTGTTATTGTATACACATAAACATAGGCTGATTATTGCAATAAAAGCCCTACACAATTAAAAGTATTTGCTCTAAGAGACACAAGTTCCAAATACTATGTCCCAAGCACATGTGTATGTGTGTGTATCAAACACTATTTTCCACATTAAAAGAATAAGTGAAGCATTTCCAATCAACACTTTCTCACTATTAGTTATATTTTTAATTCTTGTTCCCAAGAATATATCAATGAGGATGAGGCATTAATAGCCATAATCCCTGTTCATGTGTTTACTCAGGGGAAAATCCCACTGAGTTCAATAGGAGCTATTCTTCTGGTAGCACTGTTGGACTTTTAAGCAGACTAGAGAAAGTTGGAATAAGAACAGTGGAATAATCTACAAGCTTGTACCACTATCTTGAGTTTATTTATTTCAGCTCATCTATGTTTCTTATCTCTTCCAAATCAAAGGAATGAACACAGAAAGCACTACTGAAATGGACAAACTATGCATTAGTATCTCCCTGCTACTCCTTCTCCTGGAATGCAAATCAGCTTTAAACATTTCTTCCCCTTCCCACTTCACTTTCCTAAAGCTAGCAAAAACTTCAAAGTTTTTGAAGTTGTTTGAAGAACTTACTTTTCTCTACTTCTATCTTTAACATCTTTAACTGCTTCCCTCTTAATATTAATTTTAGCACATTAACACTACTTTCAAAACTGTTTTTAAAAACTAAATATTAAAATTTTATTGTCAAAATAAACTGGTAATCTACAGCCCTCACCAGTAGCCAGGATCATACACAGGAAAGAGTCTACAACCACCAGCCTACCAGTTAAAAGTAGTGAGAGGGGGAAAATGTTAAACTCAAATGTTTATGAAGGACGGGAGCCTGTACTCTTACCTCTTTAGATGCTTTTGGAAATCTTTACAAATTGCCTGTTTTCCCCTCAATTGAAATACTGGTGTCAACTTTTAGTATAGATCTTTTAATACGAACAACATCAATACCATTTATATGAATAATTATGCTAAAATAAAGGAAAATGGTGATGATAGTATAGCTTCCCAAAGAATCAACATGTATATGCCAAAACCTGTTTCTTAAAAAAGTTGGAAGAACACTAGCATCACGTACATCTGCAAAGAAGTCAGATTGTCTGCAATGTGGAAGAAGTGCAGTTAAACATCCCAAGGTCCACAATGCAGGACTAACTCAAGATGTTTCATAAAGAAAATAAAAAAAAAAGACAAATAATCCCAAACTATTCTGGAATAAATTATTAGCATGAAGATAACTAAAAGTGTTGATCAATTTTCATCTAACTTAATCAAATACAAAGCAGTGCAAAACAGAAGTGAATTGCTTTTTTTACTTTGATAGTACTGTAATGCAAATATTTTGCAAAAGTAAAAAAAATTCATGACAGAATATTCATACATCAGTCTATCATACTGTGCAACAGATAACATAATGCTTAATGATAAACATCATTAATTCAAAACCCTGGCTTTTTGAACTAAAGTACAGAAGGCCTTTCTGGTACCAATTATCAAAAGGTGTCTTTGTCAAAGTCACACTAGCTTCTTTATTTTTTGCCATGGTCTTTCTCTGATTCCAGAAGTGCAGATTGAATTCCTAATTTCTTAAGCTCTTCCACTAGGTCTCCACTTTGATGCATCTGGAGTAGTATGTCACAGCCTCCCACGAATTCACCATTGAGGTAGACTTGAGGAATAGTAGGCCAGTTGGAATAATTTTTAATGCCTGAATCAAAAAATAAAAGGAAGTTAAATAAAACATTCCCAAACATGTTAAACAACATAGAACGGGATTTTTGGAAGTCTGGACAAAAGGACAATCATTAGAGAATATTGATGATGCACTAGCTATCCTGCCTGTCTTTGTAGTCATACACCTGTATTACTCTTGTCTCTCCTATTCCTTTCCTGATGCAGAAAACTACCTTTTGCTACTTTGTAAAGCATTAGTTGTTCTGACAGCACTGCAGACTGTAACTGAAACCAAGTTGAGGCTTCTAGATGTGAAGCTGATGATACCCACTGGAGCTATAAAATTTATCACCATGTACTAATTAAAAAATGTTGCAAAGCAAGTGGGGTTAGGATGGAAGCAGCATGGGAAAATGAAGAAATGTGAGAACATAGGAGCTGAAACTAGTATATATATAACAAAGCATTTAGGAGGCAAAATAGTGGGAAAATGTAGTTTTAGAGCCTATTAGTTTATGCAGGAAAACAAAGAGAAGAAATCTCCACTTTTTTTCTATCATTGGTTTTTGTTTTTTTTTGCTACAATTTACATAACTGCACAAGGCAGATTTTAGTACAGCATTTTTCATCAGTTATACTGAAAGATGGCAGTGGCTAAACAGCTAGACAGCAAATTACAATCTGAATAAAGGTTTCCCCATTCCAACCAGATACTTAAGAACTGGACTGCACACTAACAATCATTTTGTTTTTAGGGCTTTTTGTTTAAGATACAAGCTCAAGAAATTCTAAGACTAGGAGTGGCATATGGAAAACCTAGGTTTTAAAAAAATAATATGCAAGTGGGGAGGTTAATAAAATGTTATACTGTATTCTCTTTCCAAAAGGAATATTCTTATTTCAGATTCCACAGACTATTTCTTTCATGCAGGGCAATCTACTACTCTTCTTCCTTGTATTTTCTCTCTCCTTCATTTTTTAAAAATAGGTTTATACACCTCAAATACCGATACCCATCTACCCTATTTACTGGTGCTATAAATCTATCAACATTCACTAACTGATTCTGGTTTTAGAAACAATATGTGACTTTAAATTAAAATTCCAGCAGAGATCCTTTGTCAAAGAACTGCAGAACTACATAAAGAATCATGTGATGTGTGAAAAATATTTTACAAAGATCTATTATACCTTAAAATTAAGCCTAAATATTTTTACATTAAATATTTTGTCACTATGCCCTACTGATGCCTTCAATTCTATTTGCCAATCCACTTTTATTCAAACTCTTATCTCTTTCTAACAGATCCTGGGGAGTTCAGAGTGTGGTGTAACTTGTTACACATACACGACAGGCATAATTTTTCTCACTTCACAAAGCACAGAAAGTCAAGAAGAACAGTTATGGCACTTTAAGCAGAAACCTGGACTAATTCTCATTTACCCTAATTCTTTTCTTTTAAATAAAAAAATTAATGTTCCCAAATCCCAACATAGACTAAGGTTAGCAACTGGATATTTTGCAAACAAAGGGGGGGGGGTGAGGGAGGAGAAGGGGAAATAAGCAAGGAGAAATCTGTATGGATACACATACGCAAAAACATAAGAAAATATACTTAAGTTAACACAGACAGACTGGAAGTCAGGTGTCCTTTTATCAGTTTAAGCCTGAATCTTATAAATGAACCTGTCTTCATACTTCCATGAAAATGCAAAAAACGCCTCAAAACACTTGCAAATTTGGATCTCATTTAGAGTTTCTTGAACTACAAAACTTATTTCTAACAAACTTACAGGACTGAAGATTAATTTCACATGATAAACGTAATGATTGCTTATGAGTAACAGCTATAGTTTTTGGAAAGAAGTATTAGTTTTCCATAATAAACTCACCTAAGGGGACATATACAAGAACACAAGATATTTCTCCCCTTTTGGAGAAGAAGGAAAACATTTAATAATTTTTCTAATTAATTTTCCATATCTTCACTTTCATCCATTAACACTATTCCCATATCTAGATTCTTAATGAGTAGCTTATAGGGTTAATCATTAGCACAAGTATATGCACTGATAACTGGAAACATAGAACTATTAATAATTGTTTACTGTATTTGCATAGGACTCTTAACTGTTTCACAAATATACAAATATTAAAACATCTACCCTCCAATAAAATCCAAAAATCAAAACACAAACCAACAAATCTAAAAATATAATCTAAGTAGCACAATCTAAAAAAATACAGGTGTCAGGCCCCAAACATCCTCTGGAACAGCTCCGTCTTCAACTGTTTCTGAAAGGCAAGTACACTTGGGGCTAGTCTAACTTCCAACAGGAGGCCAATCCAGAGGGCTATTACAGAAAACAGTGACTCAGTGTTTTCCCCCTCCTCAAAGTAAGGAACCACAGCTGTTTTTCCCAGCAAGCTCAGGCCAATTCAAATGGGCAAATGTGGTCTTCAAAGTAGCTTGGTGCCAAACCATAAGAACCTTATAAGTTAACACAGTACTTTAAATTGGGCCTGGCAGCTTATAGGAAGCCAATGTAATGGTATGTACAGGTATAATGTGCTCCAGCTAGTGAAGGAGGATTCTCAAGTTGCAGACCTACCCCTTCACGGATAGTGCCTCCACATCAAGTCACCATTAGAATTGTCTGAGCACCCTGATGGACAAAGAATTATCTGTCTTGCTAGGCTTCAGTATTTCCTCCCCCACAGACCCTCACAGCCTCCAGAAACCAGAAAAAGACCTTAACAACCTGACCAGTATGGTGGCTATGTGCCAGTACAATATGAGATGGCACTTGTTCTAACCTGCTTAATCCTGAATACAAAAAGCTGTTCTGAGTATGAAGGCAATCTACTTGAGAGACCAAAATTGGTCACAACATGCACCTTATGCATTATTATTTAGTAAATGGAACTGCATGAATGGTATCACCATTTTGTTTTTGTGATTCCCTTTTCTGAATGAAAGAGGGTCAAATTAGACAGAAAGGAGAACAGGATTTTATATCAAAATATCTGTGCTTAAAATGGAATTTAAAGAGGTGCAGCACTTTTTTCCTTGTATGTGATAAAACCACTCATGCTTAAATACCAGTTTCAAGATAAGAAGCAGAACATATTTTTTTACATGTGGTCAAGCAGAGAAAAAAAAGTTACATAGGCTTTATTAAAGTCAAATGAGTACAGTATGTTTAAAAAGCGAATTAATGTGATTTTATATAGCATTAGCATGAGCACACAGTATGCACTAGGACTAGCACTGTTGGTTCAAATTCTAGCTCAGCTAGAGTGTTCAGCCATTTTATTTGCAACAAATTAAAAGTTCCAATGAATTCAATACAGTAGATCTTTTTGCCATATAAAAATAATGCATGCTGCATTATTTCTGGACAGCCTTCTTTTCCACTTTGAAAGCAAAGAGGTGCATTAGAGACCCCTTTCTGAAGGCATTCACTCACAATTTCCCTTTGATAACAGACAAAATTATTGTTTTGAGCAGGCAGCAAACTCTCAAGACCACAGGCTACTAGAAAGCTGCATATGTCAAGCCTAAGCACCAAAAATCTGGAGGACCACTAGATGGTAGTAGCAACGTCTCCGCCATTACCTAGCAGTTGTCCGGATTCTTCTGCTCAGATAGGCCTAGCCCTGACGAAGGCAAGCAAATGGAGGGGTACATACAAGCATGTTCCTCTTATGCAAAGGCAGGTGGGCAGGTGAACAGTGGTCACTACTGCCACTGTTTTCCCCCCAAAAAGTAGTGTGTCTTGCAATGGAAATGTGTCTGGGGTTTATAATTCTTGGTTCGGCCAGCAAAAATAGGTGATGCCTGTCCAGTCATCAAGTAAGTCCAACCTGTTTCATAAGATCACTGAGGGGAAAAAAAATGGGAGCGGAAGAAAAAAAACATTCGGATTGCTTTGGAGGAAAAGAAAAGTTACGTGTATGGCCTAAAAACCCCAGAAAGCATAAACGAAACGCGGTGCGTAATACACGGGGGCCTAAAAAAGGGCTGGAAACGGCTGAGGGCATCCGGAGCCCTGCGAGGCCCAGCCATTGGAAGAGGGGAAGGGTGAGCAAGGCAACGCCTACCTTGCCGGAGGTCGGGGTCCTGAAGGACGTCGTAGGCGCGATAATCATTAACGCCATGAAGACGCAGGATCTGCACCACCGCGTTACTGAAGCCGCACTGGGGCTGGGCCGGGCTGCCCTTCATGAACACCACTATGGGGTGTGCGCGCACCAGCCGCTCCACCGCCTGCTTCGACCCACCGCCCTCGCCACCGGAGCTCGACTCCGCCTGACTCAGCAGCCGCACAAAATACCCCCAGGGCCGTGAGAGTCCCGCCAACCTCAAGGCTGCGGGCAGCCGGCAAAGTGACCCACTCATGACCGCTACAACCGCTGTCCCCCCTCGACTTTGCACAGCCGTCTTCCTTTGCAGCGACCTCCCTCGCTTGGGGCCGCCCAGAGGCACTCCTTTCTGATTGGCGCAAATGGTTCCGCCCGCTCGCAACTTAGCTCTGTGAACGGTAGAAGCTGCTATCAATCACTTTCAAGATATCAGAAGCTGCTGGGAAAGGTTGCCTGCGCCTTCGGCCTGCGCGGCGGGCCAATCCGGCGGAACCGAATTGCATCTCTGAATTGCGATTAGCTAAACTCGCGAGCCAACTACGGCGCGCCGGCTCGGGCCTTTAAATGTCTTTGCTGCAGAAGCAGCGTTGCGCTTTTCGGGGTTGGAGGCACGGCCGCGTAGGGCTTTATTGGTTCGTCGAGAGCAAGAAAGGAGATGGAGAGAGTTAGGATCTTCAGATGTGAAGCTGAGAGAGCATTTTTTTGAAATTCTGTACGAAGGAAGAATGATAAGAGGGCACCTTCCTTTGCATGCCGGGCAGATAGGATCTTGAACTAACAGAAAGGTAGCGTGGGTTAAGTTGAATCGTAATTGTCATCGGTATAAGATCTTCAGGAGATAATACAGAACAGTACAGTCGTATATGACGCTGTAACTCTGCGTTGCTCTGCTGCAGTGCTGGGGGGCTTGCCAGGAGTGGAAGCAAATTTAGACGGAGGGTCGAGGGTTTGCTGATTGATCGTTTAACTGCAGTCCGGCTCCCAACCCGAAATCCTCTCCAGGTTTCTGTAGGTGGCTTACCTGCTGCTTATAGCCAAATTCTAGCTTCTATGAAAGTACTAGATTATATTAAGTTAGAGCAGCAGGCCTATCTATTTCTTCTGCTATGGAGCTGTAATTATTTTTCAATCCACCGGAGGAGGGCACGGGATGCAAACTCGGCTCCTTACATACTTGTGTAAAACTTGGTTACACAAGTACAAAAGGGGCAGAGTTGATGTCCCATTTTTGCAGTGTGCATTTTATCATACATATTAGATCATCATTAGGCCAGGCTTGCAGTTTAAATGCTGTTTTTGTTTATGGTGTATATCCATATGTGCTTCCTGTAATTTAAGATTATTATCGAGTTTTACACTGCAGGATGAACACAGATGCTTCTGCATGATACAACTGCAGCTGCCTGAAAATTGCTATCATATCTTCTCAATCATCTTATCTCAAGGCTAAACATACCCAGTTCTCTCATTGTTCCCTCAGTCTCCTGATCATCTTTCCTGCCCAGAAAAGAATGGAATGAATCAGAGCATTTATAAGCAAGTATTCTAATTAATGTCCACTTCTGTTGACATTGATCAAGTGACATCTACAGAAAGCAAACCTATACATTTATGGCCCACACAGCTTCTCACCTACAAGGAAGCTAGCATTAGACAATTATGTTTGGCATGTGAGGGAATCTAGAGGGTTGCATGTTGTGTGTTCAGGATTCATAATATCTGAATTATTGGGATTATTAAATTCCTGTGATTTGAGAATGCTTATATTAATGTAACCTAAAATTGTATTTACCTTTTTTCACGGTCATGTTATATTCCTGCTTATGTTCAACAATTAAAAAAAAAACATTTTAGGTGAATTATTACCAAGCTTGTTATTTGTCATTTCTGTTTCTTTGATTTTGTAAAATTGTATTTACCTTTTTTCACGGTCATGTTATATTCCTGCTTATGTTCAACAATTAAAAAAAAACATTTTAGGTGAATTATTACCAAGCTTGTTATTTGTCATTTCTGTTTCTTTGATTTTGTTTTCCTAAGTGAAGAACTTAGCATTTGTCTTGGTCAAATTTTCTTCTGTTACTTTTGCTTATAAATGATAAGCTACAAAGTGAAATATATGGTATGCATGAGACAAATTGTAATTCAAGGTATGGTTTCTCAGTACAAGCTGAAATAAAATGGAGTTTTGTGCTTCTCAGGTATATTCAGTAGTACCAAGTTTGAATTAATTCTGAAGTTTCCAGTCTTCTAAACACAGGAAGTAATCCCTATTTCGTGATATTCTACATTTTTGTTGATTAAATTCCTGAACATACATATATTCAAATTATCTTTTTCATTTATGGCAACACACATTTTTCATTGCTGAATTTAAAAAAGCAGGATCCATTAGTATGATGAGTATCTCCAACATTACAGCGAACTCAGACATTGCTACACTATCAGTAAAAGATGGTCTCATGGATTATTTATACTGCCATAAGTGGAATGAACAAAATGGGAGAATTAAATTCTGTGTTCTAAAGTAAAATACAGGTACTTGCTATCCTTGTTAATACTGATGAAAATATCGTAATTGAAGTTGATTCAGTCAGGATCTTTTTCTGTCATAAGTGATAAAATAGAATTAATATGAAAAAATAAGTATTTATGATCCATACTACTGTAATATTTAAATGGCAACACCATTTCTGGGGTGGTACTCATCTCTATAACTATTGCTGCTGGGTGTGTGTGTAAAGAGAACTTACAGTCATAGCTTGATATTGAAAACCAGCACCATAGCAGGGTTTTTCTGTAAATGATGTTTGCCCAAATTCTAAAAAGTTAGTCATGCTAGTGACTTATAGGAAAAACAATGGATTATTGTGACACATTCAAGATTAATGCCGTATACAGTATGAAGTTTTGTAGGCAAAGGCCTACAATTCAATCAGCAGTATAAGAACTTGTGAAAATTAATTTGTTGGTCCTCTTCAAGTCTGCAGCCTTGAAACTGCCCTTAGTTGGCTTGTACTCTGGGCATAATGGGTTTGCAAAGAGTATATGATTGAGGAAGCCGAGGCAGGACTGTAAAAAAAAGCAGCAGCAGCTCCATGTGCAATGTTCCTCTGACATACTTTACACTGTTACCACGGAGATGATGATTGGCCTTGTATCATTATCCATCTGTCAGCAGTAAGAGTAAATTTGCAGTGTGATATTGTTCAGCAAATGAAGAGTTTCTGCTGAACACATAAAACTGCTACATTTGTTTAAATGTAAAAAACCAAGTAATGCATCTCTATTATGTTCCAAACATTAAAAAAAGGCTAACTATTGCCTTTGGTGTGTTTCTGTTTTCAGACTGCAAGCTGTAATTGAAGATTGTATCTCAAGAACTTGCTTAATATTTAAGTATGTGGCCTTATACCGGTAGATCTTGTTTTTTTTAACTTTGAAATTCTAACAACACGGCAAGGTGGGGGGAGAGATGGTGGAAGTATTAAGAAAGATATATTCTATTATGTATCTTAAATCATTTTCTCCCAAGTGGATGCTGTGCTCAGAATCTAATTATCCATCTTGTACTGTTGTCCAGTAGATTTACTTCTGAAACTACTGACTTATAGATAGTACTGCTGCATACAATATGTACCAGAACTTGAAAGAGCTGTAATAACAATATTTCCCATAAAAACTACTAGCTAGATCCTAATGATTTAACTGGATTTAATTTTAGATGCTATTGTAATTAGTACTGTACCTTAAATGCCTTAAAGATCATGTATCTTCTGGTTTGAATTTTATTGTTCATCTTTTGCATGGAATGTAAAATTTGAACATTGAACAAAACATCATAAAATGCAATATAGACATATTCATACATGTCTATATTGCATGTTTATGATGTTTTGTTCAATGAGTTTGTTGCTCAAAATGCTCTGTGATTGTCTTAGATGTTGAAAGGTAGGCTCAGAAATTTTGGACAGTCCATGTAGAACATGTCTCATTTCATTGCATTAAAGGCAGTTGTGTCACTGCTGAAATAAAACAAATCTAATACAAGACTGTATTCTTGTCTCTTTGGTAATGATTGTGGTTAACGTTGATCGATGCCCTAATACAGTAAGATGTACATGAAGACATTGGTGGACCTTAATTCAGATCATGTGCTCTAAACTAGTGTTTGTATACTGGTTGTCTTTTCCATTTCTGGAGTAGCTCTTTTTAAAATTTACTCTTTTAATATTAATATTAAAGCAGGAATAATCTTACTATCCAAAACCTAAAAGTTTCCTAGTTACAAATTCTGTAGCATTCCCTTGAGCATGTGAATGAATGCATAATTTTATCTTCAGTTTTTGATATTCAAGCAAGCTACATACTGATATTTAAGGGACATATTTGTGGAAGAAGGAGAATATGAAAACTGACCTGTATTAACAAGCACAACAGAAATGACTTTTTTTTTCTGGTTCCATTGTTGTACAACAGCTTATGCCCAGTCCCATATATTTAAGTGAATTAGACACATAGACAATGAAGGCCAAAAAATAAAGGATAAAGAAATTTTCTGCATCTGCAATTTTTCATTTCTATTTTTTTAAATGCCTGCATTCCATGTGATATGAATACCTTAGTTTATTCGCATGCATAATGATTTTATATTATATATGTCTGGAAGCTTTTAGAGGTGGTTTTTTTTTAAATGTTGGTATCCGCACAAGGGGACAAATCTATGGTTGCTGTTAAGCTAAACTAGAAGTTAGGATTTCTCTTTACTTGTTGGTGTATTTTAATTGTATAAAAGGAATAAATTGTGCAGACCACCAAAACAATACCTGCATTTACATGTCACCTGATTCACACATAGAACTAAGCCCTTATTAACTTAACCTTGGTTTGAATAAACCACAATTTATTGAAATCACAAAACACACAAAATCAAAGTATACTGTGAGTCAGCAATATGTGTGTTATCAATCAAATCAATGTATTTTATTTTTATTTCTCATGGTTTGAAAATAAAGCATTCATCTGCAAAGCAATACCAAGCAGAATACAAATAGCACCTGAATTTAGGAAATTAGATTATTTTTCTTAGGAAAATTTAGAATAGTACATTGAAATGTAAGCTGTACTCTTACACGAAGTGGGAGGAAATCCACAGAAGTAGGAATGTGGCAGAACTAGTAATAAAAAGAATGTGTTAAACATGGGGAGAGTTTTGCTCATTTTTATCTGCCTATTCCTGCAGGTAGTAGGATCAGAAATGACTGGAAAGACAGTATTTCATTTGTTCTGAAGCTTACCTGGTTAACATATTGTGCCAAGCCAGTTGAC